CCTCTCTGCTACTATGAGTGCTTGCACCATGGATTTCTTACAGAAAATGCCAGACCATCCTTTTCCTAGTGATTGATACTTGCAGTATTCTGAGTTATGAGGACTCCTGTACCCCAGCATCCACCTTGTGCTAGACAGCACAAGATGGCCGGAGTCTGAGGAGCAGCAGGCTGGGCTTTTGTCACAGGCTGTTTGCTTGCAGCATGGCTGCCTGGTCATGGAGGCTCCTGTGCATGCCCTGCTGTGCTGTTGCTTCTGCTCAACAGCAGATGAAAGCAAAGTCAGGCAGCAACCCACAGCAGAGCTTCACCAGCAGCTTCCAGTCCCTGGCCATCTTTTCTGGGAGGCTGTGAGCAGTGTTTGGGTTAGGATGTGCAAAGCAGGCAGGAAGAAAGCCATAGAGGGGATTTCTCTGAAACCCCAGGTGTGTCCTGGGGCCCAGCTCCTGCTCAGTATATGTGATATTGAAAGAGCCACAGCTGTGGCACAGATCTGTTTATTGCTGCATCCTGGGACGCATCTGGAAAAATGCAGCCAGGAGGGTGAGGGAAGGGATTATTCACTTCCACATGTGAGACAACAGCTGGAGTACTGTGTCCTTGTGCAGGGCTGCCCCATACACAACAGCAACTAAAACTCCAGAAGAAGTCCAGCTAAGACCACCAAGACAGTCAAGGCAGGAACACATGACATATGTGGACAGGCTGAGAAAGTTGGGCTTGTTCAACCTGGAGAAGGGAAGGCTGAGATGGGATCTTGTTGCTGCCTACAGCTATCTGGTGGGAGGGTGGAGAGCAGAGTCAGGCACCTCAGAGCACTGTGTCTCATTTTGGACCCCTTATTACAAGAAACATATTGACAGACTGGCGCAAGTCCAGCAGAGGCCATCAGACTGGTCAGGGGCCTGGAGCTCAGGATGTGTCAGGGGAATCTGAGAGAACTGGGCTCGCCTCACCTTGAGAAGAGCAGGCAATGGGGAGGTCTTATTGCTGACTAGAGCTACCTCATGGCAGGATACAGAGAACATGGAGCCAGACTGTTCAAGGAGGTGCATGGTGGTGGGATGAGAAGCAATGTATCTAAGTTTGAGCATGGAAATTCCAGTTAGAAATAGAGACTTTTTTAGCTTGAGGTTGGTAAAATACTGGAACAGGTAGCCAGAGAGAGGCTGTGGGATTTCTATCCTTAGAGGTGTTCAAGACTTGACTGGACAAGGACCTGATTTTTTAGATCTGCTTTGAGCAGGGATTGGTCTAGATGGCCTCCAGAGGTCCCTCCTAACCTAAATTATTCTATCACCCTGTGATTCGATGACAATCCTTGGAGGTGCACAGGGATAGGATGAGAGGCAATGGACATAAGGGAAGGGAGGGAAACTAGAATTGGATGAAAAAAATTTCAGCCTGAGGGTGTTCAAAGACTGAAAAAAAAAAAAAAAAACCCACAAGTTGTGGGACCTCCATTCCTTGACATATTCACAACTGACCCAGACATGACCCTAAGCAACCCATTCTAAGTTGTCCCTGCTTCGGCCTTGAGATCAGGCCAGAGACATTTGGGTGTCCCGCTGGTCTTGGTTACCCTATGTTTATCCAGTTCTCTGAAGAGCTCTCTCTCCAACCCTTATGCATCTGTATTTCTGCAGGAGCACAGCCATGGTACCAGGCCTTGTGGAATATGCAAATCTGGCTGCAGCAGAAGGTGCCTTGAGAAGCCACTTTGTAAGCCCAAAGAGCTATAGCAAAAGCCTGAGGGCCTATGGAGCTGAGACCCATACAGCCAGCCAGGCCAGTGTGATTTGCTCTTCCAGGATCAGCTGCTACTGTTGTGGCCCTGAGTGCACCAGTTGGTCTTAATGGCTGGTGACCAGTCCCACCTCGGACTTCCACCTGGGCCCATGAGGCCTGTTTCAGCTCAGCCTTGGACCTTCAGTCCTAACCTGAGCCACATTGTATGTGTACTGGTCTCCAGTCCCCTCTCTGGCCCTGTTTTCTGGATGTATCTTAGACCTACACTGTAGATAGCTTATTTCCTGGATGGACCACTCAGATCCATGTTGCAGCTTATCTCCAGCCCTTTTGTCCTTTTGTCCAGGATCTTGGGCCCAGCTGACTGCTTGCCTTGCTTGGAGCTGTTGCCAACACTCAGCTCTGCCTCTGTGCTCAGACCCAGCAAGACAGAGCCCCACCAGCAAGGGCGTTGCCTCCTCGGGGTTCACCCTTAGCTTCTGACTTGCCTGCCCATGGGGAGCCGCCAGCCTTTGCTGTTCCCAAAGAGGTGGCTCATGCCTTTGTTCTCCTCCCTTGAGTTCTGCACAGAGCCCCCTGCTCTGACTCTCTGGAGTGCAACCACTGGTTGTTGTCCTCAGCTCTGCTTCCAACCTGTATTTGCTCAGAGGTCCTCTTGCAGCTGTCTTCTTAGAAAGAGACCCCACATCAGTGTGATTTAGAAAACCTTTGTTTGATAGCTTTGAAGACACCATGCACTGGAATATTTGAGCTAAAGTCAAAACCAGGGTCTCTGCTGGACTGTAGATAAGCTGTCCTGTTGACACACTGTTTCTTTGAAGGAAACACTATTTGCATCTATTCTGAGCAGCCCAGTGGAGCCTGCTGTACACAGGGGAAGGGAAGGACTTCCTCTCCATGACCTGTGGGGCCTATGTTCCCACTCCATCTGGCAGCTCTGTTGCCAGCAGTGATCGCAGTGGTGGCTCACCAGCAGCAGCCTGCCTGCCAGCCCTGGCATGGGCACCCCACCACGTCCTAAGTCATTGCATTGCTCAGTGCTGATGTTAGCTCCAGCAGCAGCCCACGGGAGCCCCTAGGTCACCCACTTCCCCTGCCCCCAAAGAAAGGGGACATGGCCCCTCTGCCTGGGGTCCTTCTTCCCAGGGCAGCTTGGGCCCTCCTCCCTCCATAGACTTGGGAGTGCTCCTTTTATGGTTCTCCCAGACTAAATGAGGCTGCAGACAAGGGATCCCAACCTCTAACCAAGCAAGCAGGGGTGAGATCTATGCATGCAGATGGAAGTTGATCCAGGGATCCCTTACCTCAGAGAGGTCTGGATGCCACTGTCCATCCAGACCTGCAAGTTGCACTGCTTGATGTGGGCTCCTGCAGTATGGAAAGTTTGGTAGGAGCCTCAGCTTGGCACTGGCTTGCTGTGAACATCAGGTTTAAAGCTCTGCCATGAAGAAGGCACCTGGTCAGTAGGCCATTGAAACCAACACAGGAGAAGAAAGTAGAAAGGCCACATCTTTATCCTTAAAATTTTCTTGACAAAGTGATGAAACTGTCTGCACCTTCTGACACCAAGAACAGCCCTCCCAAACAATCTTTCCAGAGAGCATTTTGCTCCTATAGAGGGAGCAACCCCTGGTTGACATTGCTGGGGCTGCGGGTGGATCTGCAGGGTCTCACCAGGCCAAAGGCAGGGACTGAGAAGGAGAATGGCAAAGGGACCCACAGGCACCTGCTTGTTACCTGGAGCCCTTGCCCTCTACTCAGAGCATGCAGATTGGGGTGCCAGGGGATACTGTGTATACAGTGATTTCTGGCTGCTGGACACTAGTTCCAGCCCAATGACTTAACTCATTGATCCTGAAACGAGCCAGTGGAGAGTTAGCAAGCAGGCACGTCTCTTGAGGACCTGCCCCTCATCTTTCCAAGGTCACCTAGTCTCTCCTTTTCTAGTTTCTGTGTATATGTCCTTAAAAAGCTGGGTCTCTCCACTTCAGTTTGATCATGGCGCTCCAGAATTTGCTCCAAGTGGGCAATTCACATGTAGTGTTTGTGTAGCTGAGAGAGTCAATAATTGAAAAGGGGATTATTTTGTACTTGCCTGGCTGGAAGGGCATGCCTCCCTCCCCTCAGGGTGTTTAGTTGTGTTGTCATGGGATCTGAAAACTGCTCTAGTCACAATCTGCAAGTGCCTCCTTGTGCCTCTACAGATAACAAGTGTGAACACAAGTGGGTGTGTGCAGTGCCTATAAAGTCACCATGGAAAGCTCAGCATGGGAGGGTGCACCACTGGGTTCCTGCTCTCTGCTCAGCCGTGCTGTTGTGATGGGTGAGTTATCTTCCCAGCGGCACACTGCATTCATGTGTGGTGCTGGGCTCAAACAAGACCTGACCAGGGTGAGTATACAAAGGCACAAGATGATTAGCAGGACAGCAGCCATGATCTTGCCTGGGTGATGCATGCTGTCAGGCACCCTGGTAGCAGAAGGGATGCAAGACCAAAGCACCAACCATCACACATGCTTGGTGCCAGCCTATGCTTTCCCCAGGCTACCTATGTCCTGTATTCCCATGTCATGTCAAGGGAGGTTAATGTGGAGACCTGGATTTCAACTTGGTCCTTTCGCTTCCTGACCAATGCATGTGGTACATGTGGTTGCACAGGGGTCCTTCCCAGGCATGATGGCATCTCCCCCAGTAACTGAGCTAGTGTAGGGTGTAGGGATGTGCTGGTGGCCAGAACAGAGGGTTTGGGTTTATGTCACTGTGTGGGCCCATGACTTCCTCCTGTCTGCTTGGGAGCTAGAATCTATGCAATAGGATCCATCCTTTGGATCTGGTTTTCCACTAGCTCTCATTGGGCTGGAGTGGCTTATATAAAAGGCTTAAGCATGATTACTCCAAAAAGAATTGTTTCTTGTGATCCCTGCCCCCCAGCAAACTACTCTCCCCAGATCTAGCTGTGTCATTGTCCTCTCAGCTACTTGGGCTGTAGGTTCCAAGAACAGATCTGCAGGTTGCTATCTGGTGCAGGGAATGGGCTGATCAGGAGGGTGACAAAGCCATTTCTCACCTTACTTCAGCCCTGCAGGGGCAGAGCCTGCACCGAAGCTGCAGCTTCCACAACTCTGGGACAGTCCTGCTCCTGCCTGTGCCCTGTGGGTCTGCCTTCCCTGGTCAGAGCTCCCTGGGGACTGTCAGCAGGGGCAGAGGGGGCTGCCCAGGGATCCTAATGCTGCTGGGCCTTTTCCTTCTCAGGGCTCCAGGCTGGGAGAAGTTGGATCTGTGGGGACCTTGCGCTCCTACCCACAGTGGTGGCGATGCTCCTATTCTGTGCAAGTGCTGGCCCATCAGTACCCACTGCCAGCTCCCGGAGTGGTGAGTATGGAATGGGTGTGGGCCACTGGCTGGGCACCAAGGCGCAGAGCAGGAAAGTGTGTCCCTAGCTCAGCACTGACTCTCAGGTCTGCGAAGTGCTAGGAAGGCCAGCATGCACCCAGGCTGATGCACAACACAAGAACTCCTCACAAACAAACCCGTGGGCGATGGCTTGTAAGGTAAGCAGCCTGACACCTGTCAAACCATTCTCACCCCCTTGGTGGCTCCATGCTGAAACCAAGGGGTTTCTACCCAAACACCATAACTTGTCAGGATTGCTCTGTGGTGCTTGTCTTTTTACACTTCAGTTCTAGGAGAGACACTCCCAGCCATATTTTTTTTTTTTTTTTTTAGCTCTTGTTGGATTAGGAGTATTCCCTTCCTCCTTGCAAGGGAGGGTTACACTCCCTGCAAGACCTGTGTGCCTGAGAGAAACAGAATTTCATGGGCTGAATTGGAATTACACGCAGCAAATTGTCCCTCATCAGATACAAAACAAGAAAAACAAATTGGGCAGTAAATTAGTTTGGCAAGTAAGTCACGACAGATCAGTCCTGCTAACAGATTAACTGCAACAAGCTGGGGGAAGAGATCCCTATGAGATCAAGGTAGAACTTAGCCTTCTTTTGCAATGCCATGATCCCCAGGGAAAATATAAATTTTCATTACATATCCTCATCCAGTGGAGCCTTTTGGATGCTTCTGATCCTTGCAAGAGCTGCAGCTCAATATATCAAGGGCCTTCTGTGAGGGAAAGATATACTTGGAGGACATCACCGGCATCTGGAAGATTTTTTTCCCCTCTTTTCTTGGCCAGATACATTAGAAGGCTCCAAATGAAATAGCAAGTCATGAGAAATAGATCCTATGGCTCTTACCAGGGCCACTGTCTTAGAGATCTTTGGTTGCCCTGTGGATGAGCTGGTGGAAAAGTCAGTCTACACTGTGGAGGAGACCACAGATAAAACCAGCCCTTTTTGTCCTCACTCCCCTACTTGTTGCCCTGACAGACTCATATGATCCTTCTCTCTCCCACCCCACCCTGTGTTTGCCACTGCTGCTGTCACAGGGTTCCCTGCAGACTGCAGCCATCTCCGCAAGACCAGCCCCAGTGGGGTGTACGTCATCCAGCCAGCAGGGTCTCCCCCAAGGGTGGTGTGGTGCGACATGGACACCGAAGGCAAAGGCTGGACTGTTGTCCAGAGAAACTCTCATGACACTGAGATCACATGGAAGCAATCCTGGACCACCTACAAATACGGCTTTGGGAACGTGCAGGGTGATCACTGGTTGGGCACCGAGTATCTGCACCTGCTGACACAGCAGGGGACCTACAAGGTCCGCTTCATCGTGCGGAATAAAGCCAATGTCACCCATTATGCTGAATATGACATCTTCAGGGTGGAGAGTGAGGCTAGAGGGTACCCGCTGAGGCTGGGCCGGTTTTCTGGTGATGGAGATGACTATCTGACCAGCTATCACCCCAAGAAGGGGGGCATACATGACAACATGAAGTTCAGCACAACTGACAAGGACCAGGACCAGTACAGTGGGAACTGCGCCAACAGCTACGGGGGCTGGTGGTATGACAGGTGCCAGAACATCCTGCTCAATACCAAAAAACACATCCTTTGGCCAGGATTCTGCGATAATGGTGATTGCGCATCATCCCTCATACTGGTCAAACCCACAGATGTGTGCTGACCGTGCCGCAGCACCCAACCTCCCAGGAGTTTGTGGGAGTGCCACCATCCCCAGCTCAGTGCTCCATTCCTGTGCCTGTCAACAGCCCTGTGCCAGCCCTGGTGCATGTCCTGCACTGCCTGCAGCTCCCACACTGTCACCTGTGGCTCTGGGGCTCAGGAGCAATCGCCTGGAGCCCTGGGCATGCGGGCAGCTTCACCTAGTGCCGTGGTGCTGGCCAGCACTGGGACATAGGCACTGGTTTGCGGTGGGTGCACCCACTCCTGTCCTGGGGAGGGGGAAATAGTGCAAGTTCCCTTCCCTGTGCAATTGATGTATCCCTGCTTTGCTCAGGCCCTGCTCCCTCCCCCGGCCCCATACACCCCACAGCTCTGCTACCCATGGTGAGAGAAATCAGTTGCAATAAACCCTGGAGCCAGACTTTGCTGCCTTGTGTCTACCTGCTGCCGCAACACTGCACCTAAGTGTGGGGAAATCACTCTGTCCAGCCGCTGGGGTGGTGGACCTGGGGGGAAGTAGGTGTGTTATGCAGATCCTCTCCTGGGGAAGGAGACACACCTGCCCAAAGGATGCCAGATCTCCCTCGGACATGCAGAGCTCACCTTCCCCAGGAACGGCGTGGTGGCTACTGGGTTCAAGATAATTTGCTCAGGCAGTGCTGGGCCAGGTCAGCTGTGGAGCTGCTTCTGCTTCCAGGCTGAGCTGGTACAGAGCTGGTGTGGCTTGCAGGGGTTTTGTGCTGATTTTTTTTTTTTTTTCTGAAATATTTCAATGTTCCATAGTGAAAGGTCTGACACCAATTCTCCCTGCTACTGACTGTCCCCAGCATCAGCCTGTAACATGAGCTTTTCTCCCTTTGGTACAGTTGCTGTACACAGCTGAGTACAACTGTTGTACCTAATTCTGTCTGTGGTTTGGTTCTCAGGTCTCTGGATGCAATATTGCTTCCAATGGCTTCTTCCAGCCACTGTGCACTGAATGGTGGCTGTAAGGCTTTGATTAGCTAACAGGCCCAAAAAAGCCCAGTATCTTGCAAACCCCTCAGCCATAGTTTGACCCTGTCCATGGTTGGGTTGTTGATTTATGCTGGGAAAGGGAAGAAACCACCACGGATTGGAGTGTGGAGAGGGTGGTGGGCTCCCTGAGGGTGTGAAAGTGCAATTAAGTCAGTCCTATCATACTCTGTTGCAGAGGGGGACTGTGGTTATGGATCTCCTTTGTGACAGAGGGAAGTTTGAACTTAGTGCTTGAAAGAAGCCACGGTTCCTCTCCTCTGTCTTTGGAAGAAAAGCTGAGCTCAAGGAAGGCTTGTGGCTGTGAATCCTGAACAACTTGTGACTCTCAGGCCAAGATCTGTGACTGAGGTCCCAGGGCAACCTGCAGAGCTATGTCAGCACTGTGTTCCTGAAGAGGCTGCACAGGCAGCCTTGGCTACCCTGGAGGCATCTGTGGGCCTGCAGCCCTGATGCATGGGGAGATGAATGTATGAGGGTGCTGCTTGTTGAAAAAGGCTTCCCTATTTGAGCTGACTTGAGAGTAGCGTTTCTAGATGGAGAGACACATCTGCTGGTTTAAAAAGTCATTTGCACTCCAGCCTGGATGTACAACCTAACTGGAGGACAGAGGCTTGGCAGAAAAGGTCTTGGGGTTCCTAGTAAACAACAATTTGCCCAGGAGTCAGCAATGCACCCTTTCAGTGTTGAAGGTGAACTGCATCCTGGGCTGTATTACCAAGAGTGCAGCCAGCAAGACATCGTTCCCCTCTGCTCATCACTGGGAGACCACATCACAGGTACCATGTCCACTGTTGAGCTATCCAGTGCACAGAGATATCACTACAGTGGAGCAAGCCCATATGGACTCAATCTGATCCAGGCTTCTTGAACACCTGGGATTCCTGCCATGTCAGGCTGCCTCAGCTCTTAACCCTGCCCCAGATATCGCAACCATGCAGTACTGTGTGCATCTGCAGTGCTGTTGTCCCTTTCTTCCCTGTCCACTCTTCCAGTTACCTCCCAAGGCCTGGGACAGCATTCACAAGGTTAACAAGGCAGGATGATGCTGGCCTGGCTTGCTGTCTCTGGTTAGCTCCAGGTCATGGCTGGTAGGGCTGAACTGAGCTGATGCTTCCCTCTGACCCTCAGTGCTTGCTCTTGGCCATGTGGTACTGCACTTTTTGAAAGATCCCCAGCTTGAAACCCAACTAACTTCTTTAAGTGTAAGTGTTGTCTTTAATTCCTCATTTGAGTCTTATGAAAGATTTTCCCTTTGAAAGTCTTGTCTTAGTACACGAGTTGCTCCTGGCAAGAAACTGGCAGCAGCTGCAAGAAGTTCCCAAACAAATGAAAGACATTTGTGCATGTCTGTGCAGGTTCTGAAAGCAATTTTATTCTGCAGGATGAACACAGACTACAGCAGGGATATGGTACATGCATGGCCTGCCTGGGCTTAGAGAAGCTTGGATCAGGTTAGCTAGTGATGACTGGTATTTTTCTGCTGAAGTCATCTATACCTGCAAAGCAAAAAGAGAATAAGACCTTGCTGGATTAGGAGGGGTTTAGGTTTCTGAGCAGAGTTTTCTCCCCAGAAGGAACATGCTTGGAAACTGTAGTGTTTATTATAGACTTGTTCTAATAATGATCCCTAAAAAAACACTACAAGTGAAAGGCCAGAGACAAAGCAGGGAGCTTTGCTACTTTTCAATAGAAGAGGAAAAGAAAACAGCTCTTGATATACAGGAACAACCCTATTCACCCCCAGTTCCCCAGCCAGCAAAACAGGCCCCAGCCAGGCACTGGTCTGGCCATGTGCCCAGTGCAGACAGGAAGGGGAAAGAGCACTAATGGTACGGAGCTGGTTTGATGAGGATGGCGGAAGCTTTGCAGTTCCTGTTGCACAGGCTGCCCCATGTTATGCCCCCCTTGACGTTCAGCTGTACAGAATAACATGCTGAGTACCACCACCCACCCCCAGAGCGGGAGGCACAGTTCCCTCTGTAAGTGTCATGATCCCGATCTTTTGTGGAGAACTTCATGTTGTTGTGCACGTTCCTGGGATTGTCTGAGTCCATGGCATCCTCCGCTGTCCCTGTGTACATTCCCAGCCTCAGCTGGTAGCCATGGGACTCATCTTCCACACTGAAGAGGTTGTAGTCTGCGAACTTGATGTTGTTTGTGGCATCCCAGATGACAAATCTGACCTGGTAGATCTTCTGCTTGGACATCTGATGGATGTACTCAGTGCCCAGCCAGTACTCAGTGTGCACGTTCCCAAAGCCGTACTTGTAGGTGCTCCAGGACTCGGCCCAGGTGATCTCTGTGCTCTGCCGGTTCCTCTGGATGACCATCCAGCCCCCGTCTGTTGCATTCATTTCACAGTACACCACGATGGGGTGCAGTCCTGTGGGCTGGATGACATAGACGTCACTGGGGCTGCCAGTGGGGATCTTGCTGCAGTCCTTGGGCCAACCTGGTGCAGGAGAGAGGGCAATTTAACAAAAGCCTGTGCAACAGGACAAGACCATGTTTCACCCTGTGGCAGGACAGGGACACCTGGCCAGAGTACCTGGGGGATACTCAGCTGTCCCAGCCCAGAGAGGCCAGTATGCTTGGCTGGAGGTGTGTGTGGATTGGCCTCATCCCTCTGTTCCTCTTCCATACGGGACACCTAACAGGAGGCAGCCCCCATGAAAGGCCCCACACCCACTGGGCTATCCTGGTTTCGGGCCAGAAGACTGATACGGACACTAGTGGGCTCCTTTAGATCTCCTCAAAAAGGGGTTGTGTCACTAAAACAGGGTCCCACTGGGGAGGAAGGTGAACAGACCTTGCCCCTGCCTGTTGCTGAGGGAACAGGATAAAAATGACCCTTCAAGCACACAGCTACCCTTACCAGTCTGTATGGTGCAAACACACACGTGCACATGCAGGGCGCTGCAGCCTGTATTTGGTACACCCCCTCACATCCACCATCCTCCATCCTGGAGCAGGGCCAGGGCTAGGGACAGTGGAGCTGGTCATACATGAGCACACAACACTGTGCTGGCAGGTGTGGTCTCCCCACACCTTCATCTCACTTGCTGCAGGACCTCCCACTGCAGTTAAGGTCATCCCGCCAGATGGGCAGCGCTCCTCTCCCCAGCTGAGCAAAGCCTGTGGTTGATGCTGCCTCTCCCCAGCCTGCCTTCCTGTATATACTATGGAGGTGTTTTCTGGATCTGAGACATCATAGCACACCCTCTCCCAAGAGTCATTTTACCAAGCCAACACTAGCCCAGAGCATGGGCTGGGGCTGTTCACCAGACAGGGCTGACCCAGACCAAAGAACTGAAAGGGGCTGGTGAGAGCACTGTGATGCCCACAGGATGCTACATACTGGTTTTCTTCAGATCACTTGCTGAAGCATTGGAGGGAGATTTCTTGAAGGTGTTTAGGCTTTGTATATGCATGGAGTGGCCTGGGGCAGCCAAGACCAGCACACAAGCAAGGAGTAGAAGGCACTGGGCTGCTAGAAAGGGAAAAGATGGAGAAAAGATTAAATGTGACCCTCCCTCCAGACAGGTGGGAAATCCCATGGCTCCAGCACCGCACAGTGTAACATGACCATGTGAGATGCAGGAGTGCACCAAGCATGCTGAGCAGCATCAGACTGGTCTGTGCAAGCTGGAAAGCTTGCCAAAAGGCCTGAACTCTTTTGCCCAAGGGGTAGACAATCCTGCCTTTTCCCCTTGACCAGCTTCCAAAAAATCATGCATTAGATAGTTTTGGGTGGAGCAAAGCACCTAACAACGAACCGAGCCAAGTTTCATTCCTGGCCCCTGAAGCAGGGGACTGGCTGTCATGAGCCAGAAGGCAGGGCACAAGCTGCTGGTTTTTGAAGTGGTGGCAGGTGAGCATGCCCTCAGAGGGCACCGATGCCACTGCTCCCCATCGGTGTTTAAGGACCAGTGCATGGAGCCTCTCCGTATTGCTGGGCTGCCCTACCTGTGCTTCTCCCGTTGCTAGCAAGGAGCACCCCGCTTCCCAGCCCAGTACTCACCCATGGCGTCCGCACAGGAATGGCCTCTGGTGCGCAAAGCTGTGGAGTGGCAGGTCTCACAGAGGCATTTGTAGTGCCCTCTGCAGTGGGTGGGGTGAGTGGGTCGATCTGCTCCTCCCATCTTCCTTTCTCCTGGAGGAGGAAATCAGGCTGGGTTTCCTTTGTGCCCTTAAGAAAACACAAGCTGAGATGAAGGTGCCTGTGGTTCTAGGTGCATAGCTTCCTAGGCTGCAAAGAAAATAACACCCGTGCCAGCAAGAGTCCTTGAAATGGTCTCTTCTGTCGAGTGCTTAGCTCCTTCGATGGAATTTCCCCTGGGAATAGCATATTTGGGAGCTTTGAAGAAGGCAGCTCAGTAAATAAACACTAGAATGCCAGTCCCCAGCCAGTGTGGAGAGTAAACACTGGGGATGTCCCCGCCTCCCACCATTACAGCAGGGTTCTGTCAGGTCAACTGGTTCTTGTTTAATGTGCTTTTGACAAGCCCAGCCTAGCTCTTCGTGGGGAAGTCAGGGCAGCCCTGAGAATCCCAGAGAGACTAACCATTCTGGGATAGTATTTGGAGCAGCTGGTGTTTTCTGGACTGCATGACAGCAGGCAGAGGGTTGTGGAGGCGGTGATCTCCATCTGGGGAAGCAGGAGAGGTCTCTATTCCCCAGTGGGCCACAGTCCTGATCTGCAAGGACACAGCTGAATGGGCCTGCTGAAAGATGCTGGCTAAAAGGTTTCTGCAGGCCAGCTGAGACAGCTGTGGTCTCTGGGGCACTGGGTTTGGGAGGCTAGTCATGCAGGATGGATGGCTACAGAGGAAAGCAAGTGTCTGCCCAGGAACGGAGCAAAACTGGGCAGATGGAGGGCAGCAATGGGGATCTGAGCGTGCACAGAGGGGAAAGCATGACTGTATGTGCATAGAGAGGGAATGGAGGGGATCTGAGTGTCCATGGAGGGGAACTGAGGGTGCACAGCGGGACTGGAAGGGATCTGATGGTGGAACCCATAGGAACTGAGCACCCACAGAAGGGACAGGTGGGATCTGAGTGTCAATGGAGGGCAAGAGTGGGAATCTGAGGGCATTTGTTGTGGAAAAGAAGGATGTGAGTGTGCACAGTGGGGAGAAGTCAGCACTAAGCAGACACTGAAAGGAACAGAGGAGGTCTGAGTATGTGAGGAGGGGAACAGAGGAGATCTGCGTGCATAGAGAGGGAAAAGGAGGACACTTGAGCATACGAGGCAGGGAAAAGAGGGCATCTGTTTGTGCAAGGAGGACAACAGAGGGATTCCAAGAGAGCACAATGAGGGGAACGGAGAGGATGTGAAAGCAGCTGGGTAGGAATGGAGTGCATCTGAGAGTACTTGGAAATGAACAGAATGAGTCTGAGGAGATCTAGAAGCACAAAGAAGGCAACAAAGGGAATTTTAAAGCATGTAGAGGGGACATGGTTTGAATGTAAGGCACTCGGAAAGGATGGCAGGGACTGGAGTGTGCACAAAGGGGAGTGGAGATCTGAGCACACATGGATGGGAACTGTGGGGTTCCAAGGCACAGGTAGGGAGCAGAGAGGATTGACAAGCACTCAAAAGGGAATGGGGGGTAACTGAGGGTCCACAGAGGGGAACAGAGGGAGCCTGAGCATGCATAGAAAAGAATGGAAGGGACCACAGTGGCATGTGGGGGAATAGAGAGCACATGGAGGGGAATGGAGGGGATCTGAATGCACATAGAATTGACGAAATGGTTTTGAAGTGCCCTCTGATGCTCCCCAGGGTCTTTTATTTGCTCTCTGGTGCAATGCAGAGGCTTCCATTTGGTTCTCTCATCCCCTAAGAATCACTCAATTTACCTTTTGGTGCACCCAAAAGAAGGGGGCCTTGGATTTCCTTCAGACTCTGTTTGCCTTCTGGTGCTGCCTAGAGCCCCCCATTTTCTTTGCAGTGCATCCCAGTGTCCTACATTTGCTTTCCTTTTCATGCCAGAGTCCTCTGTATGCCCTCAGATGCTCGCCAAGCCCTCCACTGCCTTCTCATGCACCCTGTTTCCCTTTGCAAATCCTGTCACCCCAGAGGCCCCAGCAGGGTCCTGGGCAGCAGGGACTTCTTTGTGTAGAATGCTCAGTAGAAAGTCAGGATAAGACTCTGGTCTGGACATAGTGACAGTCCACTGCTTGCTGGGGCCACAGACCCAGCACATCTGCAGAGAGGGAACGCCTGAGGTCAAGTCTGGAGACCAAGTCAGTGGGTCCTATGAGGGGCAGAACTGGAGGAACAAGGCTGGGTGCAGACATAGCTGCTGCACAGCTGCCATGTAGCCAGTGGTAAAGGCGCAGTTTAAAAGCAGCTCTCCAGGGGAAGGAGGAGCATCCCTCACTTCTAGCTTTTTTCATAACAGCCCTTTTCAGTGAAGGAGCTGACTTTGGACATAGCCAGCTAAACTCCTTAACTCAGTGAACTACACTCAGAGAAGGGGAAAAGGATTCAAGGGTGCTGACATTGGCCTACCCTCACAAGCAATAACATAGAAATCTCTGGAACAACATGCAGAGCCCTGTGGTAAGGGAAGCAACCCCTGATTGCTCCTGGGGCCAGCTCCTGCCTCGGGATCTGGGTCTTCCCATCCCACAGGGAAGCACAAGAATCCCAAGTACCAGTTAAAGACAGGTTTGTACTTCCTTAACTAGGGCTGAAGGACAGAGTCTCTGGGTGCCCATGTGCCACAGTTACTCTAAGGTCACTTGGGTTACAGTCCCACCATGTGTTCTTCTCCCATCTGCAACAGTGACACTGTTTTGCGTGGGTTGGGTAAGGGTATGGGTGCTCTGGGCAAATTCAGAGGCCACAAACCTATGGGGGGCCCTTGATTCAACTAGAGGATTGTTTTGGAGGGTGTGCCCATCCAGGAGGGTTAGGATAGGGGGTACTGTGATGTGGGACCTTAATAAGAGTGGTCTGACCAGGCCCTCTTTGCTGCCATTGAGGTAAGATGTTTTCTGGCACTGGAGAAACAGGGGTTTTCTAAGGCAGGTGGCAGTGTGATGGCCTCTCTTGCCATCTCATTGGGATGTGATGGCAAGATGTGACAGGACCTCTTGAGATCACCTGGTCCAACCCCCTCCTCAAGAAAGGTCAACTACAGCAGGCCACCCAGGAAAGTGTCCGGTTGGGTTTTGAATATCCCCAAGGATGGAGACTCCCTCCCTGGGAAACCTGTGCCGGTGTTTGGTCACCCTCACAGTGACAAAGTGTTTTCTTGTGTTCAGATGGAAGTGCTTGTATGTCAATTTGTGCCCATTGACTCTTGTCCTGACACTGGGTATCACTGGAAAGAGCCTGGCTCTTTCTTCCGTCCCTTCAGGTATTTATATACATTGATAATATCCCCCTCTGAGCCTTCTCTTCTCCAGGCTGAATAGTCCCAGCTCTCTCAGCCTTTCCTCAAAGGAAAGATGCTCCAGTCCCTTAATCATCTTCGTGGCCCTTCCATGGACTCTGTCTAGCATGTCCATGTCTCTCTCACACTGGGGAACCCAGAACTGGATGCCAGGTATGGCCTCACCAGTGCTGAATAAAGGGAAAGGATCAGCTCCCTCAACCTGCTGGCAGCACTCTCCTAATGCAGCCCAGGATGCTGTTGGCATTTTTTACCATGACTGTACATTGCTGGCTGATGGTCAGTTTCTTGCCTGCCAGGATCTTCATGTCCTTTTTCGCAGATCTACCTTGCAGCTGGGTGATGCCAGGATTGACTCTTGGAGTACAACACTGGTGACTGGTGTCCAGCTGGACTTTGTGCCACTGATCAGCACTCTCTGGGCCTGTCCGTGTCAAAAGCTTACTAAAATTGAGGTAAATGATATCCACTGTTCTCCACTCATCCATCATGCTAGTCCCTCATTGTAGAAGGCCATCAGGTTACTTAAATATGATTTTCCCTTTGTAAATCCATGCTGACTCCTCCAGATCTCCTTCTTGTCTTTCATGTGCCTGAAAATGGTTTCCAGGATTAGCTGCTTCATCATCGTCCCAGGGATCAAGGTGAGGCTGACCAGCCTGTGGTTCCCTGGGTCCTCCTTCTTGCTCTTGAAGATGAGTGACATTTACTTTCCTCTAGTCTCCAGGCACTTCTCCCAGTTGCCAGGAAAGATCAAAGATTATTGAGAGTGGCCTTGCAATGTCATTGGCCAGCTCCCTCAGCACTTGCGGGTACATCCCATCAGGGCCCATGGACTTCTGTATGTCCAGTTTGCTTAAGTATTAGAATTCTTGTATTAGTATTCCCTATCCTGACCCTCTTCCACCAACAGTATGTCTTACTTGCTTCAGACTTTCCCCCTGATCCCTTGGGCTTGGGATTCCTGAAGGTTGGTCTTCCCAGTAAAGATAGAATTGAAGAAGTCATTGAGTACCTTGGCCTTTTCCATGTCCTGTGTCACCAGGCCCCCTGAATGGGGATTCAGCAGCAGACCCACATTTTGCCTAGTATTCCTTTTGTTTATGTACTTGTAGAAATCTTTCTTGCTGCCCTTCACACCCCTTGCCAGATTCAACTCCAGGCCAGCCTTGGCTTTCCCAACCCCATCCCTGAATGATTGGACAGCATCTCTTTATTCCACCAGCCATCATACATTTCTTCCATCTCTTGAACATTTCCTTTATACGTCTGAGTTTACTCAGGAACTCCTTGCTCATCCACACAAGTCTTCTGCTACTTTTGCTTGATTTCTTGCTTGTTTGCAAATATATAAGAAAAACATAATGTAAACATATATAATAAAAACATGTCCCCTGTCTCCATCTACTTTTTTGCTTTTGGGGTGAGGAATGTGGGCCGGTGGCCCCCACTTCCATGGATTCCTCTGTTTGAAGTGGCAAGGTAGGCGGTGCAGAGCATGGCACATAACCTCTGAGGATGCTGGTACACTCTCTGATGCACTGCCAGCCTCCTCTCCAAAGTGATAGCCAAGCCTGAGAGCTGCCTCAATCTCTGAGGCGGGTCCACTCTGGCCGTCTCATCACCGAGACCCTCAGTCAGCCCCAAACTGCAGTGGGCCATAAGGGCTCATTCCCCAGGGTCAGTCCCTTTGGACAGTCTCAGGAACTAGATTTGTGCTTGGCAGCTGATGGCTTCTGTGCTAGAGCTCCAGCAAGGCTGGCTGAGCTGCTGCTGTACAGCTGAGCCCCCCCTGCAACAGCTCCAGAGAATGCAGTAAGGGGTCAGGGTCCTGGAGGACAGGGTCACTGCACTCCATGTAGCAAATGACCATGTAGCAAGACCTCCACTGTGGGGTTGCAGCAGACCAGCTCCCTTTCTGCCCTTGGCTGCTCCATGCCACGCTGAGCCCCTCCAGCACTTGCCATGGCCTGTGGCAGAGACAAGAAAAGAGCCTGAGAGGTGTGAAAGGAAGGGAGAGCCCATGCCCGGTGGCTGCATCTTTCTGTCACCCTCCTTTGCCAGTTGTGTATGCTCCTGTCATCAGCCTTGAGGCTGGGAAGAGTGTCATCCCGTTCCCTTTGCTTCACACAGCCATCTGTCTGAGGGAAACCTGTGACTGAAAAGTGTGATTTACACACACACACACATGGTCCACTTGTTAGCAGCAGAAGAAATAGGCAGGGATCACAAGACCACAGTGTGTTCCTAATGGGAAATGTTAGTATTACTTGGATGAGAAATGTGAGCTGCAGCCTCCAGGATGAGGACAGGGTGGCTCTGTTGTGTTACCAGATGACTGCAAGAGGACAAGGTCCTTGCTCCTGTCAGGACCAGCCTCTGTGGGATGAGGGAGCACAGTCTGGGGCTACAGCCCAGAGATTGCAGCTCAGGCTCCTCAACCATAATCAGCACTGGCAGCACCACATATTTAAATACAGCTGGAATGTCAATCCAGGTGATGGAAGCATTTTACCGATTGCTTGGGACCAAATGCACCAATGGGATATAGGCATACTCTGCATGTGTTGCGTTTGCAGCCTGTTTTTTCATATTCTTCTAGTAGTTGTTTTTCTAACATAAATCTGCATACATTTAAAGGCAACATAGGACACTGGAGATACCGTGATCACAGTCTTAAGTGGTTTTTTTTTTTTTAATTTCTTCTTCAAGGAATCACATAGCATGCTTCCTCTACTGTTTGGCCATTTTGTTACAGACATAATGTCTAAAAAATCTGTAGCAGCAATTTATCCAAATTACAAAACTGAAGTCAACAGGGTTATACAGTGGTGTAAAAGTATGTGATAAAATGCTTTTAGGCAAAAAATTAGAGGAGAAAGTTAACGGCGTTTGTAGTGGCTATGACATATAAAGGTATTATTATACATTATTATCTTTGATACATCAGTATCAAGAGAAAACTTTCCCACAGGTGGCAATCTGACCTTCCCTTCATGCTAGCTGTTGACATGCAGGATCAGGAGTGTCAGAACTATATTTTGGACTGCTTATGTGCTGCCCAGTACCCAGTTTTTCAGTATGCAAGCCCAAGACCCTCAGATCTCGATCTCCAGCATAACCCAGAGTTTTAGAACTCTGTGGTTCTGTTTTTAGACTGCTCCCATTTGCACATGCCACCCCCAATGCAAGAAAGGCAATTGCAGAAGTGTTGGTCCTCAGGGATGGATCCACATGTCAAGCTCCCCTAGGGTGAATCCAGGCATGTGGAATCCCATGGGGGACCCTGTTGTCCAGGTCTGTGGGATGTCTGGAGGTCACTGAAGTCTGGGAGGCACCAGCATTGCCATGTGGACCTGGAAGGCAGAAGGAGGAATGGAGAAAGAAGAGGTGGGTGGAGGAGACTAAGGAGGAGGGGGGAGG